ATGTCCCTCCCATCATAGTCACATGTCCCTCCCATCATAGTCACATGTCTCACCCATTACAGTCACATGTCTCACCCATTATAGTCACATGTCTCACCCATTATAGTCACATGTCTCACCCATTATAGTCACATGTCTCACCCATTATAGTCACATGTGTCACCCATCATAGTCACATGTGTCATCCATCATAGTCACATGTGTCATCCATCATAGTCACATGTGTCATCCATCATAGTCACATGCGTCATCCATCATAGTCACATGTCTCTCCCATCATAGTCACATGTCTCTCCCATCATAGTCACATGTCCCTCCCATCATAGTCACATGTCCCTCCCATCATAGTCACATGTCCCTCCCATCATAGTCACATGTCCCTCCCATCATAGTCACATGTCCCTCCCATCATAGTCACATGTCCCTCCCATCATAGTCACATGTCCCTCCCATCATAGTCACATGTCCCTCCCATCATAGTCACATGTCCCTCCCATCATAGTCACATGTCCCTCCCATCATAGTCACATGTCTCACTCATTACAGTCACATGTGTCATCCATCATAGTCACATGTCCCTCCCATCAGTCGCATGTCCCTCCCATCAGTCACATGTCCCTCCAATTACAGTTACATGTCTCACCCATCAGTCACATGTCCCTCCCATCATAGTCACATGTCCCTCCCATCACAGGCACATGTGTCATCCATTACAGTCGCATGTCCCTCCCATTACAGTCACATGTCTCACCCATCAGTCACATGTCCCTCCCATCATAGTCACATGTGTCATCCATCACAGTCACATGTGTCATCCATTACAGTCGCATGTGTCATCCATTACAGTCGCATGTCCCTCCCATTACAGTCACATGTCTCACTCATTACAGTCACATGTCCTTTCCATCACAGTCACATGTGTCATCCATTACAGTCACATGTCCCTCCCATTACAGTCACATGTCTCACTCATTATAGTCACATGTCCCTCCCATCAGTCATATGTGTCATCCATTACAGTCACATGTCCCTCCCATTACAGTCACATGTCTCACTCATTACAG